AAGAACTGAAGTCTTATCTTAGCTCACCGCCTCTGTTGACTAAAGCTATAGATGGAGAGCTTCTATACTTGTACCTGGGGATTTCATATGAGGCCATTAGTTCAGTTCTGGTGAGAGAAGAAGTTAGGCAGCAGAAACCAATTTATTATATCAGCAGCGTGCTGCACGGAGCAGAGCTGAGATATCCTATAGCTGAGAAAGCAGCATTAGCAGTCGTCACTTCGGCCAGGAAGTTGAGGCCATATTTCCAGTCACACCCAATTATCGTTCTCACCAACCAACCTCTTAGGCAGATTCTACAGAAACCAGAGTGCTCTGGAAGACTAATTAAGTGGGCAGTAGAACTGGGAGAGTTTGAGATAACATTTCAGCAGAGATCGGCCATCCGAGCTCAAGCATTAGCAGATTTTATTGTCGAATGCACCCCATGTCCTTCAAACTCTAATCCAAAGCCCAACGACTGGACCTTATATGTTGACGGAGCATCTAGTAGCAAGGGTTCAGGGGCTGGCGCTCTCTTGCTTGGTCCAGAGGGATACCGAAGTGAACATGCTCTGAAGTTCAATTTTGATGCAACAAATAACATGGCTGAGTATGAAGCTCTGCTACTTGGTCTACAGCTAGCATTGCAGTTGCAAATCAGTGTAATTCAAGTGTACAGCGACTCCCAGTTGGTGGTAAACCAAATCAACTCAATCTGTGAAGTTGTTGATCCTGTAATGGTAAAGTATGTAGCCTTGGTGGCCGAGCTGAAGTGCAACTTCCAAAAATTCTGTTTGAGTAAAATTCCCCGAGCTGAGAATGAACAGGCAGATTTACTCTCCAAGTTTGCCTCTGATAGCTCTTCAAGTTCCAAATCCGTTTTTGTGGAGGTCTTAGATGAACCAAGCTTCATGAAGCCCCGGATGATGGAGATTAGCACAAACCTTGACACACCGAGCTGGACTGACTCAATTATATCCTTTTTGCGAGATGGAATAGTACCTGAGGACAGGCAAGAGGCGATGAAATTGAGGAAGAAAGCATCTCGGTATACACTTGTTGATGGGATCCTCTATAAGAGATCTTTTTCACTTCCTCTTCTGCGATGTTTGAATCCCTACGAAGCCGAGTATGCACTTCGAGAGGTACAAGAAGGTGTCTGTGGGAGCCACGTCGGTGCTAGAACTCTGGCTCACAAAGTCTTAAGGCAGGGATATTACTGGCCAAACATGTATAAGGATGCCACTCACTTTGTTCAGAAATGTCCAAGGTGCCAATTCTTTGCACATCTAACTCACTAACCTGCAGAAGAACTCACGAACTTGGTAGCACCATGGCCATTTGCACAGTGGGGACTAGATCTTTTAGGTCCATTCGTGAAAGGGGTTGGTGGCGTAACCCATCTGGTTGTTGGTGTGGATTATTTCACAAAGTGGGTA